ACAAACCATAGGTAACCATACCATGATCTCTTCGGGGAAGGTTGGCACGGCAACTTGTCCCTCCGAACGCTCTCGTGGGCCTCAGGAGCTCCGCGGACGGCTGTGGCACGCTGGGATGCGACTATGACAGGGCACGAAAGATCAGGAGCGCCGAATCCAAGCTGATTTCGAGCCTGAAGCGGGTCATGAGAGGTGTTGCCCTTCAGCCGAGTGCTTGGGTGACACGTTCCAGGGAACGAGCAGGCATTTCCTTGTCCGCTCTCCTCGCAATATGATGTTCCACGAAAGGACTTGCACAGACTCGCTCATGTAAGATTTGCGTCTGAATCAATGATATGTCTTTGTTCGCCGCTGTTCTCGACTGTAGGTTGCAACTTGAGTTCAAAGGTTCGTTCGAATCGCTGTCATTCCTGGCTGTAGGTTGGTTGCATCAACTTGCGTTGTTCGCCACTATCTTCTTGCTGCTACGTACACAGTTGCTCCTGGAATGTATTGGAATCGCCGCTGTAAGCTGCCTACCTGTTCCTGCTTATGCCACTTCAAACACAGCGAAGGGCATACGTCTCAATGCTGGCAATCTGATCCTACAAAGGAGCAGTCCCGAACAACTTCACTCTGCTCGGCCAGACGCGATCAACACCAGACGCGCGCAGATGCAGGGAGCCCGAGAATGCGAGGCTTGAGAAATTCCTGCTTGACGACAGCTCCGTATGGTCACGCCCACAAAGCTGTGCACGTGAGTAGCTAGGCGGGCAAGACACCTCATACGTGTGAACAACGCCTAACGATATTGCAAGTCGCTGGAATAGGCAACATGAGCGCAAGCGCGCGCATTTACGTACGCAAGTTCACTCGGGCAATGCAGTGGTTTGGAAGCCAGGGTCATACCAGTCGCGCTCGCCCGCTGGTATTGGATCACTCGGCGCAGCGATCACTGGCCGAATATAATGTGGGGGGCAGGATCAAAGCTGGCTTGGCAAGCAAGCGCAAGACACCCTGCCTGCCCCACCCGAGCCACGATCACGAAGGGGCTTCACGCAAGACGGCACAGCGAACTTGCGCCGCGGCTCACGCGGGCCGCCAGTGCGGCACCGCCACACTGGAAACAAGGACGCTCACGCGCGACCTTACCAAGGGCTCCCAACTTTGCGCTTCGCGCTGCGCGAAGCGCGAAGTGCGAATCACTTCGCGCTCTCGCGCCGCCTCCCAAGGGAGAAGTGGAGGGTGAGGAGGACTCGGAGCCGTACCGCGAAGCGCGAACAACTTCGCGCCCTCGAGGGCGCCCCTGCTTACGCGGGCAGCTTCCGCGCCAATGTCGGCGCCACCGGCCCCGCGTCGTTGCGTCGCTCACCCGTACCCGAGACGTGGCTCATCACCACCCGCCTGGATCAGAGCCGTGTCGCCGAGCACGTGCTGCGCCCCGCCGCTCCGCCCGGCCGCGTCCAGCCCCGCCTCCTGCCGGCATGCCACAGACGGGTCACGAGGGAAGCCCTGGGCCCCCGGGGGGCCCTGCCCCTGGACTTCTGTCGGGCGTGTCCCCCATACAGGGGGATTTTCGACGACAGGAAAAAAATACCACAAAAATACGACCAAAAGGTCAACACAAATATTCAAAAATAGTCCCCAGACTACTTTTGGACTATTTTTGAATTATTTCTGGGGTATTTTTTTTCGTCTGAAATCCCCCCTGTAAGAAGACACGCCCGACTTAACCCTGGACCCATCGCTCGGACGTCCACTCCCTCTGCTTCTTCTTCGGCTTTGTGCGTGGTTCTTGTCGCAGGATGGTCCAGGATGCTCCTTAATAATCTCCGCCGAGGAAAGAGTACACACGTCCGAGCGATACCAAGGCCCCAGGACCCAGCTCTTCGTCCCGAGTCGTGCTCGGATGGTTCTGGGGTCCATGGGAACCCCCACAATGGCAAACACCTTCGGCGGGGCCGAAAATGATGTCTGCATGCGAGTGGCTCGTGATACGTTCAAAAAGGTCCGGAATCTGTGCTGGTGGCCCGCATGCCTGCAGCCCGCGTGGAGCATCAGGAAACATCTAGGAGAACAAGAGATCGTGGAACGCATCATTCGCATGACCGCGAGCCCCTCTGATCAGGACCCGTGTGCCTCGTGTCGGCTGCACGCGAGAGAGGCCCTGGGCAACAATGCCCCTCGGTGCGCGGCTTTGGGGGGGGGGGGCGCGAGGGCCAACACCAAGCGCGCAAGCGGCTGCTTTCACGTCTCGTTTTATGTCGGGCGTGTCCCCCCACAGGGGGATTTCCGACGACGAAAAATAAAAAATACACCGATAATGCCCCAAAGAGGCCATACACCGATATCCAAATAGTCCCCAGACTATTTTTGGATAATTTGTTTTTATTGTTTTGGGGGTATTTCTTATTTTTCGTCGAACATCCCCCTGTAGGGGGACAGGCCCGACTTAAGTCTCGTTCCACGATCGGGAGGTCCCCGTGGGCCCGCACCAAGGGCCACTCCGGCGAGGGATCGCGCTCACGTGCAGCCCCAGAGCTTCCCAGCCCCTCCACCGGGGGACGTCTTGCGCCGCGCATACACTTTGTCCCCGAGCATCCTGTCGCGTTGGGACCTCGTTTTCAAGCGACAGCACTCCACGTCTCACTCACTCACTCACTCACTCACTCACTCACTCACTCACTCGTCCTCCCTCGTCCCTCCTCCAATACTGCATCTGTCCTCCGCATGTCCAATGTGGCACACCCCTCGCACGCTTCGGGAGCTCCACCGAAGGCGCGACAATCCTGGTTCGCATGCCGTCTCCACGCCATTTCGGCGTACTCCTTACAAGTTTCGTGGCCCCACGGAGAGCTCCCCCGTAAGGTCCCCCAAATCCTGGTTCGCATACCTTCTCCACGCCAATTCGGCGCCACACTCACACGTTTCGTGGCCCCATAAAGAGTTCACGCTAAGATCCAAAATTCCTGGTTCGCATATCCTCTCTACGCCATGTCGGCGCACCCATCACACGTTCCGTGGCCCCAGAGAGAGCTCCACCTGAGGCCCCAAATCCTGGTTCACATGCTTTCCCCACGCCATTTCGGCGCATCCCTCACACGCTTCGTGGCCCAACAAGCCAATGGCATCCAACTCCCTTTCGCACACCTTCTCCAAGACATGTCGTCACACCCCTCACAAGTTCGTGGCCCCATAGAGAGCTCCACCTGGGGCCCAAAAATGCTGGTTCGCATACATTATCCACGCTATTTCGCCGTACCCCTCACAAGTTTCGCGGCCCCATAGAGAGCTCACTCAACCTGAGGCCCCAGCGGCTGCGTTCACATGCCTGGTCCGCACCATCGGTACACCCTTCACACACTTCGTGGCTCCATTGGGAGCTTCACCTAAGGCTCCACTTGCTGCGTTCGCATGCCTTATCCACACCATGTCGGCGCAACCCTCACACGTTTCGTGGCCCCACAGGGAGCCCCACCGAAGACCCCAGTGGCAGGAATTGCATGCGTGACCGCGCCTATTATTGCAAACCCATGAAACGTTGCGTGGCCCCACAGGGAGCGCCACCGAAGGCCCTGGCGGCAAGACTCGCATACGTGACCACGCGCATGCAGGCACACACCTCACACGTCTCGTGGCACCTCACACGTCTCGTGGCCCCATAGGGAGCTACAACGAAGGATTCCACGCATGCACCCCCCTGGGGCTGCGCTGACAGACGCGCATAGCAGCCGTAACGGGTCACATCCAGTTGTAACCCGTCACGCCCGATCTTTGCGACCTCATCGGCAGCGTGGCTCCGCACTTCCTGCGAATGTCTTAGTCCTTTCGCTGGCCCCTTCCCTTGGTTCCCACCTGTTCTGCGGTGCTCGCAGCTGCACACGGCTGGGCCCTTCGCCAGGCGAACTGGTGATTCCCGGGGTCCCGACAGCGGGCCCCGGACACCGACATCGAAGAACAACGCACGGACTGAACAACACAAAGATCTTCTGACGGGCTACAGTGGAGGCCCAGCCACAAGAAACCTTCTGCACGAAACCCAACCCTGAGACCCGAGGACGTCCACGGATTTTTGGCGTGGGGACGTCGCGCTCTCCATCACAAACCATCGAAACCCAGGGCACCCTGGGGGCAAGCAGGCTGCTTCTTGGCATGGGCCCCACTGTAGCCGGGCTCTGCAGGCTCCTGCAGCATCCTGCAGGATCCTGCGCCCAAGCCCGGGTCCACGCCACCCTGGTTAATGGTTCTGCAGGATATCCTGCAAGGCCCCCGTCTCTTGAGCCCCGCAGCGACTCCTGGCGGCCCGCCCCTGCGCCGGCGCACAGCAGCGCCGGGCAGCCGGAGAGGGCCGCCCGCAGCAGGGGCGGCGCGCGGAGCGGGGTCATGCGGCCGCCGGTGCCGCGGGGGCACCGGGGAGGGAGTGAGGTATGCTGCGCATGAAGCGCACTATATGTAAAGGTATGGAGCAGACTCGGGCCAGAGCGCGCGCGCACGCGGCCAGAGCGCAGTGGGCAGCACGACCGACGGGCCGCTCCCTCGTCGCCGTCTGGCCGAAGCCTGCGCACTGTCCCGTGACCACCGCGGCGCGAGGCCTGCAGGACCACAGCGGACGGGGGCGCGTGCCGAAGAGGTGCCAACGCGATGCAGGGATGCTCCACCGCCTGCTGCGGTGCAAAGGTTCGCTTCTGACGGCGCTCGGACCCCTGGGCGTTCCCTCGCGCTTCGCCTCCTCTTCCCCTGCCATCCAAGTCTTCTCACCTCCACCCGTCACCAGCATATCGGCGTGAGCCCCGCAGCCAGGCGGTGCATCGGACAGACCCTCGCCTGCAGCACTCTCCGCTCATGCCTGCAATGTGTTTCAAAAACAAAAGGGCCTTCCCTCTCAGCCTTTACCGAAATCCTGAGTGTCTCACTTCCCTGCGGGTGCCCTCAAGATGAGTTCGCGCATGCTTCACACGAAATGGCCAGGAAGACTCAGCCAGTCATTATGATCAAACAAAGCGAAGCAAGCTGCGCTGCGCCGACGCAACCAGGAACATCTGCTCGATGGGCTCTGCGGGTAAGAACCTGACACCATTGGAGTGGCATGTTCGCAACTTGCAGCACGTTCGATTCGGATCGTGCGTGGCATAACAGCTCCAATTGTAGCCGACGTAGTGGAGCCCTGGCATGATTGCGCCATCCATGACTTCTGCTGCCGGTGCTGCCAGACACGGAACGCATGCCAGTGTGGCGTGGTGCTGCTACTGTCGCCTCCTGCTTCTGCTGCTTCGCCGCCTTCTGCTACTGACCCCTCCCTGTCCACATCCTCCTGCCTCTACTCGGCATCTTCCTTCCTCGGCTTACCCCGCCTTCTCTCCCCCCGCCCCCTCAGTCCTGGAGCGTCCGCCACATCCGCATCCACCGAATCCTCCTCCACCTCCTCCCCAGGGCCCCATGCGCATCCCCCTCCACCGCATCATCCTGCATCTCCTGCTCCTGCTGCTCGGCAAAACCTGAAAGAGCACGTCTTATACTGCCCGGCCCAACCTCACGCCACCACGACGTCGTGTGCATTCTCGTCATCCTGCTCTCTGCTCTCCTGGTACTCTCGTGCGCCTCCACATCGCCCTCGCCCTCCTCGTCTCTCCCCATCCGCGTGCAGCTCGTCCTCCGTGGGTGCCGTCCTTGTCTCCGCCCCTCGGGGGTGCCCCAGAAGAGGAGAGCGCCCAAGGGGCTGCTCGCAAATCATGTCCCGAGGCAGTGCGCGGGCACGATTGGGGGGGGGGCCAGGGGACACACTGAGACAGGACAAGGTGGCCCCCCAAAGGTGGCCATGAACTCCAGGGATATCCTGGGACATCCACACACAGACACACACCTAAGTCGAAGCCAGGACGAGGATACAATCGGGTGGGGATATACAAGCGAGTATCTCTGAGATCCAGCGGCTCTGGTGGACGTGTCGCGCGCCGCTGACAGCGTTCCGGAACGCCCTGGAACGGATGTATCCATGCCCTCGCCCCGTCCGAACTGAAGGGGCCCCAAGACACACAAATAGATAGACACAAATAAACAGATTCCCCATATTTTCCCATATCTTCGGGGTTTCTGTCTCCCCCCCCACTTCCCATCTTTTCCCCTATTTTCTGGGGAGTCGACGATGAATTGTGTCTGTGTGTGTTTTCCCCCTCCCGAGTACCTCCGATACAATCGGGTGGGGGATATACAAGCGAGTACCTCTGAGATCTAGCGTCTCTGGAATGTCGCGCGCCGCTGACAGCGTTCCGGAACGCTCTGGGACGGATTTATCCTCGTCCTCGTCCCGTGGCAACACCCGAACTGGTAGTGCCAACAACGAGGACGCCGCGCCGCCTGGCTTCCGGGTCGTAACTCCGCCCCGCGGCGGCCGATCGGGACGAGCCAGACACCCCAAGCCGCGGGCAAAGCTCCCGAGGCTGGACAGAAGCGGCGAAGTCAAGTCAAGTCACCCCGCTCGCACGAGGGCGGGCCCATATAGGGCGCGAGGGAAAAAATCAAATGCCAGTCACTATTCAGGCCTGGTGCGCAAAGGAAGCATCGCGCCTGCTCACGTCGACGTGCAGAAATCCAGAAATCTTCTGTCATTTCACAGAAGCGGCGAAGACGCCGGAAAGCCTTGGACCTCGAAGCCCTTCGCCCCTGACCAAGGTGCACAAGGCGATCCCTGGACCTCTCCCGGGGCGTGTCCTGACCAAGATCTCGAGGCGGATCCAGAGGACACGATGGCGCCCCGGGGAGAACAAAAACCGCCGGAAATGAAGGGGAATAAAACGGATCCCATGACCAAGACTGACCCCGGAAACATCGTGTCGATCTTGGTCAGCGTCGATCTTGGTCAGCGGCGTCAATATGTGGCCTCTCCTGGAGAGTCGGCGACGGCCGACTTGGACCATGCCCAAGGTCGGCATCGACAAGATCCCGCGTCACCTTGGTCATGGTCCCCGTGTTTCTTCCCTCGAAGAAATGGGCCCGTCTCAAATTATTCGCGAGGATGCCCGTGACCAGCCCCGCCGCCCCCAAACCAACCCCCTGGTCACGTCACGATTCGCGCCAGCGCCGTCTGCAAAGTGCGCCATTCTTGGGCATTCCCAGACGGCGCTGGCGCGAAACGTGGCGGTGTCAAATTGATCCCTGATCCTGGACGTCATGATTTATTTGTCAGATCAAAACATTCCCAAAAATCTCGCCCCGTTCCCCAGGACTGGCTCTTCATCCTGAGTTGTTCGATGGCACCGAGGCCCCAGACAAGACCCATAAACGAAGCTAGCGGCAAACCCTCCGTCGACCCTCCGTCGTGAGTTTTCTTTTGTCTCGATGGGGTCTGGGATCCCCAGACCTCGAGCCCAACGTCCCCCCCGCAGCCACCTCCCCGACCCCCCTAAGGCAGCGATCTTCGCGCTCCGCAATCCACGAAGCGCGACTCTCTTCGCGCTTTCGCGCCGACCCCCCCCCCAGAACAGGATTCGGCGGTGGACAAATCTCCCTTTGGTAACCACCCTTTAGTTGAAACGGCCTAGGACCAAAACCGACGGACCTGGACGCGCAAAAACGACGGCCGCGACGCCCTCTCGCGAACCGAGAAAGGCTCACTCGCTGTTCGACGTGTCGGCGTAGGAACTCGATCAACCTCCGAGGGATGAGGGACTCGCGCCTCGCTCTGGATCCGCCAAGACCGCGAAACGCGACGAACTTTGCGCCCTTGTGGTGGCCCTCGTCCCCCGCGCCTCGCCCGCGGCCGCGGGCCCCGAGGGACTGGGGGCGCCGGCGGGCCTTCGGGTGACCCGCTGCCCGCTCGGGATCCGGAAGGACACCTGCGCAGGCGCCAGGGCCCGCCACGCGGAGGGGGGAAAGAGAGAGAGAGAGAGGGAGAGAGAGAAAGAGAGAGAGAGAGAGGAGAAGGAGGAGGAGGAGGAGGAGGGGGTGGAGGATGAGGAGGATGAGGAGTGCGCGTACTCCAAGAGGAAGAGACGAGGGCAAGCGGGCAAGACGCGAGACGAAGACAAATTGTCCGCGCGCGTCAGTCCACTGGGGCCGGCCTACTTCCAGAGCAATGCTTTGGCGGCGCTCAACCCTTGAGCTATCGTGGCTGGGGTCGGCGTTGCGTGCTTCAGTTTGTTGTGCAGATTGAAGGCCAGCGCTGTCCGCTGGATCGACCGCAGCAGCGAGAGGTCGCTGTCGGGATCAGACGGGTAATTCGGCGGCGGCGGGGCCCAAGCCCCAGCGCGCAAGTGCTTTGCGGAGCGGGAGGGGGTCGGGGGACCAGAGGAGGCCCAGGAGGCCAGGGCAGGAGAGGTAGTGAGGGAACGAGTCGGGTGCCGCCTGGCACCCAAACACCACCTGCTTCTGCCGGAGGACGTGCATGCGATGGGTGGTCGTCCAGCCCCCAGCAAGCGTATTGTAAACAGCCCAGCGCCAGCTGGGGCGGACTTCGGGGAGTTCACTGGTGAGAGCAGACCATCGAGTCGCGAGCTCTGGGGCTGATGGCGGCTGCTGAATGCCCCAGGCTGCGATGCGCTTCTCGAGAGTGAACGGCGATGAAAAAGAGGCGCGGTGAAGCTCGAGCGCGACCGCGCGCTGCACCTCAGGGCGGCGCGGTGGCTCGGCAGCTGGGGCCTCGCGGAGCTCGCGGGCAGCTGCGCGGTTTGCCGCGGCCACGGCAGCTGCAGAAAACAGAGCGGCACGCTTCCCGCGGGACAGGGCATGGTATAATTTCACGATGATGGAAGTGTTCTCTTCCCAGAAGGGCGGGGACCACTGCCCAAACCCCCGGCGATGGAAGGAGTGAACCGTGCTCTCCTCCCACGCGGCGTCTCGTAGGCGCGCGCGAAATGGTTCCCATTTCCCGCGCAGCGTGTAGGTAGCAGAACGGATAGAGGCGGCGACGGCAGAAATCTGGGCAGATCGTGGGACAGGAGGCGGGCACCACTCCGCCATTGCAGCGAGGTCTACTGTGCGAAACGTGTTCGGCGGCAGACTGAGCATTTTGTAAACATGCACTGTTCACGGCGAGCAAGCTTCATATCAAGCGGGAAGAAATGCGAGGCATAGCTGAGAGTCGAAACGACTGATGTGTCGCGCAGGCGAACAGTGGCATCACTGCCACTCTGGACAATATCAAGAGAATTACCGCGCTGCCACCATTTCTGCCCAGGGGCGAGCCCTCCCACGAGGGGCGGAAGTGGCCGAGAGGGATCTCGTTGGAGCGATGGTGGAAGGCGTAGTCTTCGCCCAAAGCGGGACGACGACGCACTTGCGAGGCTTGAGCGCGAGGAGCGCGAGCTCCTCAACAGCGCAAAAGGGTCCAGAGGCGCGGCGCAGCGCGTCGAACGAGAAAGCGAGGAGGCCAACGTCTTCCGCGCACACGCCGGGGTAGCCCTTGTCGTAGTCAGGAGTGCCATCGACCGTCTCGACGAACGAAGCGAGGCGGCGCACCGGCGGGTCCACCGCGATCGCCCACGCTGAGCCGCTCGCAGGGCAGCCCTGCGCCACGCCAGACTCGATCGGGAACGTGAAGTGACGGACGCCGTCGATCTTGAGGAAGCTGTTCGGGGCATGGCACAGCTGGCGAAAGAGACTGAGCAGGCCCGCGGGAACTCCAAGTCGCTCCAGAGGTGTGAAGAGCCAGACCCGTCCAAACGACGGGAAAACCGCAGCGAAGTCGTAGCTGGTGAAGACGGGTTGTTGCAGCTCGGCGCCAGGGCGCACCCCTGCACGGCGCCTCTCCGTGCCTAGGTTGACGATGTGCTTGGTGAAAATGCGGCCGACGACGAGGCCCTGCTGCGCGTAACGCGTCCGCTCTGCCACAACGGACTTGATGAAGAAATTGGCCGCGCCCGCGATGGCCTTGATATCCGTGTTATTGAAGGAGAGCGGGCGAGTGTCCTCTGGCATGCGGTCCGTCGCGAGCTCGCCCGTGAGGCTGTCGCCATTTGGGAGGAAGGCGAAGTCGGAGACATTCAGATCGTGGATCAAGTCAGCGTTGGAGCAGAGATGCCACGCGAGGTCCTCGAGCAGGTCCAAGGGCGCGTCGACGGCAAGCCAGGCGCGGTACGGCAAGAGGCCGGGCCCGGGCGCAGACGGCGCAGCGCGCTGCAAGAAGCCGCGGATATGTGCCTTGGTGGGTGCGCCAACGTCAATGGTGGGAAAGAGCGGCATGTGCGATGCGATGCGCTGCTTGACCTTCACTTCGTCGACCTGCTTGCGCTCGAAGACAGGGCGCCAGTGGTCGCGAAGTGCATCCACCATCGCATGACTCTCTCTGGCTGCCGCCGGAAGGCCCGAAGGGTCGGTGGTTTTGATGCCCTGGAGGCAAGGCGGCCCTTACAGGGGGCCCAAACGGAGGCTCTGCGCTGGGGCGCACGGGTGATCTTTCGGAGCTTCTCAGGCTCGATGGCCCCCGGCGCGCCCCGCGGCGACTGGGCCGCTCCTTGTGCCAGAGAGCGTTGCCGAGCCTCGAAGTCGCTGCGCAGGGCGGAGGACTCCATGGCGAACTCGGCGGCGCCCGAGAGCGCGATGACGCCGCCGTCCAGAACGAGGTGCTTTGAGCCGAGCTCGGTGGTGGACTGCAGGCGGCGTGCCAGATGGATGTCCTGGCGCCAGATCGCTCGCGAGATCGAGCGTGCCGCGATCACCTGGCCGTAGGAGCGGCTTGTCTTGCCGATCTCTCCGGCTGCGCGGCTGACCCAATCATCGCGAACAAGACGGGCAGCCTCAACCATGAGACGCTTGCGCGTGCGCCAGGTGGGTCGTGACGGCGTTGTCGAGCATCTGTTGGAGGTACTCGGCGAACGAGGGGTCGCGGAAGATGGCTGGGGGGATAGCCTGCTCCACTGGCGGCGTCCCCAGCTTGATACCGATGGTGTAGGAGACGATGGCGCGGTCGCTGAGGCGGTCCGAGAGGATGGCAGGGTCGCGGGCGATGCGGATGACCGGCGTGTGCGCAAGTATGGCGTGCGACGGCAGGCTGATGAAGACACGGTCGATGACTGACGCGATGAAGTCGGACATGTTGAGCGTCGGTAGGTCTGACTCGATCTCCAGCATGCCGTCAAACAGGGCCTCCCAGAACGGCGAGCGCTGCTGTCCAGCGCGAGGCGGGCGTGCTGTGTCCGCGGCTGAAAGAAGCTGCTCGGCGGGCGGCTCGCAGCGTTGGAGTCGCCCAGGGCGATGAAGGTGCGGTGCAGGTAGTTGGCTTCCGCCCACGTGCGGTGTTAGTGCCGGGCTCGTTGAATGCAATATCGACCCCCAGCGTCGATCTCGTGATTATGAACGTTCATGATGTCGATGGTGTTGCAGGTGATAGCGTTAGTGACGGCGACAAGCTGGACGCGGCCTTTGACGAGCTCCTCGTGGGCGAAGATCGGGAGCTGGGACGGCTGCAGCTGCTCCAGCTGCGCGCGCGTGAGCCATGGGATGAGGGCGGCCACGCCGCCCGTGCCCGCGCGCGCGTCATCGGCGGACTCGTCGACGAACTGCGAGAAGAAGAGCTCGCACGGGCAGGGCTGGGCGTCGACCCATGTGCGGAGAAGCTTCTCCGAGCCGTGGACCTCCTGCAGGACAATGCCAGCGCGCTGGCGCATGCACTGCTGCAGGGCTGCCTGTTTGCGGCGGCGCTTCGAGCGCTTGTGGCACATGGGCGCGCGGGAGTTCCAGGTGATGAACGAGCGGGGCAAGTTGTCCTCGACTTGCGTCCACGGTGCCCAGTGGCGTCTAAAACCGCCACGTGGCCTCAGCCGCGTCCGCGAAGAGCGCCTGGAAAAAAAATGAGGACGGCGCCGCGGTCGATGTCGCGGAAGTGAGCGAGCTCGAATGCCTTCTCGTTCAACTCCGAGATGGCGGGGTCGGCTTGGCCCTTGACGTCCAGGCGCGCGACGGGCATGGCGCTGCAGTGGATCTCGCCCATGGTGCGGTACGCTTTCCAAGCCTTTTTTTTGCGGATAGCGGTGCTGAAGAAGTTGGAGAAGTTTCTTGCGCTAAATATCGGTGCGGATCTGCTTGGGGGCCCTGTCGGCATTGATGTGAATCGCTTCCACTTCCCTGCAGCATCGCGAAGAGCTCGAGAAAGAGCAAGTGCCCGGGGAACTGCGAGAGCGCGATCTCCATTGACTTAAGGTTCATCTCCGCATAGCTCGACGGCGTCCGTGTCCAGGTTGGCGGAAGCAATCCACTCCTGCAGGTTGTTGGGGAGCACGCCAGGCGCGATGAGGCGGTGGGATCCGACGGTGAAGATCGCTCGGTCGATCGCGCGGCTTCAGTCGGCGAGCCTGGTGGGGTCCGTGATCGGGGCCTGCGCTTCGGCGGGCGCGAGCGTCTCGCGCATCTGGTCGATATGCTGCCACATCTGTTGCTGGTCAGCAGCTTGTCTGTCCTCTTCGCGGTGGGCTCCAGCAGCGACATCATGGGGGGAGGCGTCTCGGCGTTCAGTGACTTGAACTTCCTGTGCGAGAAGTTGACGAAGTTTTCTCTGGGTTGATTGAGTAGCTGATTGGCTTGCGCTGGGAAGGTACTTGCTGCATGTGCGACTTTTGCTTGCAGTTCTTGTAGTGCTTTGTCCAGGTCAAGATCCAGTCCAGGGAAACGAACGAGCTCGGGCGCAGGTGGTGTGGCTTGGTCGGCTTCAGCATGATGCGCGGTGGTGGCTCCGAAGGTGGCGGCTCCTCCAGCGGTTGGGAGTCGACCATGGCCTTGTGCTGCGGAAGCATGAGCATGTGAGGCCGCGCTTCCTTCACGCCAGGGAGCAGCTGCTCCTGCCAAGGGATCGGGACCAGGGGCTGCAGCTGGATGCTGTGCGTAAGGTTAAGTCCAAACGCAATCTCGGTGTTGTCGAGGATCAGCGTCGGCAGCAGCGCGAGGGGGAACTTGCGACTCTTCTTCTCCAGTGTCCATGGCAACGGTGGGAGTCTGCTGCGCCTGGCGGGCTGAGGATCTGCCTGCACGTGCTGCTTGTCCCGATGCTCTTCCCGGGCGTGATTCGGCTGGCTGCGAGGAGAAACCGTTTTCGCCGTAGGTTGCCAATGTATTGTGGGCGGCGGATGCACGCGAGCCTTTATCATCGCGTTCATGGGGACCCCGATGTGGGCGGTCAGGTTCGAGACATTTTCTTTCTCGGCGACGGTCTTTCCTTCTGCGGCTGGCTGAGGGGGCACTGCGTGAAGTGGAACGCTGTTCGCTGGAAGACATGGTTGGAACTCGACGGGCACGGAACTGTTCTGAACTGCGCCACCTACCAATCGGAATACGATGCCATTGCGTGGCTGCTGCTGCTGGGAAACGAAGGCGACGACGTCCAGCGGGATATGGAAGCGGGGATCGACGACAAGAAGCTCAGGCACGGAGTACACGGAAGCGGGGGTATGGATGCTCGGCCTAGGGCGCGAGAGAAAATGGATGCTCGGCGCAAAACTCACGAGAGACACAGCGATATGGAAGGCGGCCTGCAACGCCGGGATAAAACGCAGGAGTGGACGGCAGCTCGTCCCTGGGCGTGGCTGCAAGACAGTTGGGACTGGCCGCGGACTAGCGGTATCCACGCTGGGCTCGCGATGGCGTGCCATCTTGAGCCAAAACGGCTACGGAAAGAGGAGGGGGAGGAGGAGGAGAAGGAGGAGGAGGACAAGGAGGAAGACCAGGATGAGCAAGAGCAAGAGGAAACGGAGGAGAAAGAGGAGGAGGAAGCGGAGGAGGAGGAGAAGGAGGAGGAGTAGAAGACAGAGAAGGAGGAGAGGGAGGAGGAGGAGGAGGAGGAGGAAGAGGAGGAGGAGGAGGAGGAAGAGGAGGAAGAGGAGGAGCGAACGTCGCTCCAGAGGAAGAGTCGCCTACCTACCCGTGCGTGCACGTGCAGTACCAGGGCAACAAAGTAAGTACTGTGGCCCAGAACCAGGATGCGCTGAAGTGATAGCGTGCCACTGGTGCGTCAGGCTAAGCCTCAAGACCGACCAAACGAGCGAGTCATCGGGGGTCGAGGCGTGGTCCCATTGGGACCCAAAACAGAGCTTCAATAATACAGAGTTAGAACAAAAATCCCTAGGAAAACAGGCGACCCACCACGGGCGCCGACACCTCAAATATTGTGACATATTGTCAGATCCGTTCTCACAGCCAAGCTTACAGGGGGCCGAGCGACTATTAGTGACATGCATTCTGGCCACTGTGGGCCATGCACCGCGCATTACTTTGATCACCGCCCACCTCACCCCCATCCCTTTATTGCGAAGGACGTACTTAAGCGCCTCCCATCTCTGCGCCAACACACATGTGGCGGGCGCAAGGGCGTGCCACGCAGCCGACCTTTTCTTCCTCTCACGATGGAGCTGCGCCAGCCAAGCAGCCTCCGTTGCCAACGTCCGCCTCTTCGCGGCGCGAAGACAGGCCACCGTCCGATGCCCGTTCCTGGGCCTGCTGGTCAGCGTGCAGCTCAGCAGGTCGTCCCTGAGGTGGCGAGCAGACCCTCGACGATCAGGAGGAAGAGGAGGAGGAGGAGGAGGAGGAGGAGGAGGAGGAGGAGGAAGAGGAGGAGGAGGGGGCGTGGGAGGGAGAGGTGGAGGAAGAGGAAGCGGAATGCGAAAAGGAGGGGGAAGAGGAGGAAGAAAACGAGGAGTAGAAGGAGGAGGAGGAGGAAACGAAAGACGCGGAGGACAGGAGGAAACGGAGGAGGATGAGGAGAGGGAGGGGCAAGAGGAGGGCACAGAGGATCAGGACGGGAAGGACGAGGGTCACAAGGCGGAGGGCGCGGAGAAAGAGGATGCTGTAGACGGAGAAGGACAAAGGGAATCGGACGTGGAGGAGGCTGGGGGCAGGATATGGGGGAGGGAGGCCACAGGTGGAGGAGAAGGCAGGGGGGAGAGCGGTAGGCGAGTGGACATGGGATGATCGGGAGAGTCAGGGAGGGGCCACTGCAAGGGTGCATCCTGACCAGGATTTCGAAGAGAATCCAGCCGTGGCGACGAAAGCGCCCAAGGACGAGCAACGGTATTGGTATATTTTCTTCCTCTGACCCTACACAAATGCAGGAGGGTTAATGGCGAGGTATATTATTCGGGTGTAGACTCCACGCGATGATCCGTCCGCGCCGGCAGTAAGAGGCGGATACGCCGAGGGCCCCGCCAGGCAGAGTCGGCCGGCCTCCATGGCTACAGGGAAAATTGAGGACCAAGGTCGAGCCTGAGTCAGAGCTTGCCGCGGCGGGCGAGGCTGAGGCTGGGGAGGCGGCTGAATCGGAGTCGGAGGCGGGAACAAGCATGGAGACGATTCCAGAGGCGGCGGCGGCGCAGGCGGGATCGGAAGGAGGACGAGGTGGAGACAGAGGAACACAAGACGAGGTGAGCATTAACCTGTGGGGGTCCGCGCGAGTTCCTTGGTCGGCGTTGGACCCCCCAGCTGGACCCAAGAACTCCGCGCGGACCCGCGACAATTCGTGCTTCTGCTGCTGATCTAATGGTTAGCGTCAAGGGGGGGACCGGATCAGCGGGAAGAACACCGACCCTTGCCGTCGCTCGGACGTCCATTTCCCGTGCATGTTTCGGTTTCGTGCGCGTTTTTTGTGCTCGACGGTCCAGGATGCTCCTCCAGGGTCCTCGCCGAGAAAAAAATGCACACGTGCGAGCGATGCCAGGGACCTGGAATCGGCGATGCATCGCCGATGGATCGGCGAAGCGCTCCCGACAGCGGCTCCCCAGCCTCCTCAAGCGGGGTGAGCTAGCAGGCCCCCTATCGGCGGTCTGTGGGCTCTCTGGGAGTCGATGCACCCCCTCTGAGCGTATGCACCCCTACCGACGCTGCCTCGGAATAGAGCGGGGGCGAGGGGAGAGCAAAAGCCCGGGCCTCAGCGCGGATGCGTGCCTTGCCTGGAGAAGCCAGAGACGGCACAAGCACAGACGTGCTACGGTCCGCACGGATTTCTGGGACCCGCGCAGGACCCCCCTCCCAGGCGCGCGAAGCGCGCCAGGGGCGGCGCCAGAGGCGCCGCCAGGGAGGCCTGGCGCAGATCCAAGATATTGAACGTTTTCTGATTCGGCGTTTCGACAAATTGCTGAAAGGGGGGGAGAGAGGAGGAGTCCGGCTCCGGACCTCTGCTTCATGCGACTGTTTGGAGCAGGGCGTCCCCTGGGGACGACTCCACCTGTTTGAGCAAAAACAGGCGCCAACAACAGCCAAGCTCTACTCCAAGGGGGGCGGAGGGATGGCGGGGGCTTTGTGGGCCCCGGAAACGGCAGGGCCATTTTTTTACCGTTTCCCAAAAAAAAGTCCCTTGAAATTGGAAGCGGCGAAAAAACGGCGACCGGAAACGGCAAACAAATGGCTCCAGGATTGGAACCGGAGCCGGAACCGCCACAAAAACGGCAAAACGGAACCGGTAACAAAACGGCCCTGTCGTTTCCAGGGCCCACTAAGGGCGGGGGTGGCGAGAGCGCGGAGCTCTGGAGACCTCTGCTGGTGCCGCTCCTCCTGCCCCTCGTGGGCGGGAAAACTGAGCAATGCCATGCCTGCGGCCTCGGCGGACGCGGGCCGTCTTCTCGCGGCGGCCCCACGCGGAGCGCACCCGTAGGCGCGGCGCCAGGGGGCGGGGGGGGGTAAGTTGAAGGGGCCCTGGGACACACAACTGAATACACACAAATAAAATATGTCCCTATATTTTCGCATATGTTCTGGGTTTTTGTCTTCCCGCCCAATTCCCATATTTTCCCATATTTTCTTGGGGATCGACGATTAATTGTGTCTGTGTGTTTTTTCCCCTCCTGATAAGTGAGAATTTGGAAGGCCGAGATGGGTACGAAGAAAGTGGGTACCATGGCCAACAACCAGCGTTGTCCCAAACCAGCAGCGTCCGCCGTTGGGCTGGCGGCGTCCTGTCTCAATTGGACAACGTCCGCGGCGGTGCGGACAGCGCGTCCTGTTCAGAACGAACAGGACATGCTGCCGGTCGTTGTACCCATTCTTTCCGTACCCATGTCAATCGTGCCGAAAGAAGGGCGAGCCTCTTCAGAAGGCTCCGAAGTTCCCTGGCCTTCTGCGAAGTTGTGTAACCCCTCCCCGAAGACGCACAGCGCTTCTCAGAAGGCGCGAGGGCTTCTGAGGAGTCCCGCCGCCTTCTGAGAAAGCCTCCTCCTCCTCACGTCCCCCCCTCGCTCGCCGCCGAATCCGTGCCACCGCGTATCCGCGGGATGGCGCCCCGGAATCCAGACGGCCGCTGCTCGTGGTGTCTCGCTGCACTCCTATATGCTGGCCCGCAGCCGCTGCCCCGCGGCGCGCTCGAGCAGCTGGACCACGCGCGTGTAGTCTGCGTCGTCTGCCTCGCAAGGGCCCCAGGGACACATAAGAAGGACCCGCAAGCCTTTGGGAAGCGGCCTGAGTTGGGAGGCCAGAAAACGTTGTAGGGACAGGGAGTCGTTTCTGCAGGTGGATCAAGCCAAACGGTCCAGATCGATGATCCCTAATGCAGATACGGGAAACTCAGTGAGGCCACGTCTTCACCATGTTACTAGGATTAGGGGCTCCCTCATCCTCGATGCCCATTGGTATCTGCGCCTGTGTCTTTTGCTCCCCTCGGGCCTCCTCCGCCGCGGCCTGCTGCACCAGGTCCACCGTGCGCGGCAGCAGCGACGCCGCCGGGAAGTGCTCCCGCAGGACGCCGCCGGCGATGCGGCAGTCCTGTCACGAGCGGCGAACGTACGCACACCCGCGCTTGGGCAGCGCGGCGTGGAGGGGCAATGCCTTGGGGGGGGGGGGGGCAGCGAGGGCCGCAGAGCAGGGGGCCCGCTGGGGCCCCTGAAAGCGGCCCGGTTGGGGCCCCAGAGGGGGCCCGTTCGGGCCCGAAGGAGGCGCCTCTCTCTCTCCCCTCCCCACCCTCCCCATTGCTCGCCCCCCTGCTCGCCCCATGCACCCCCATGTTTTCGCTCCCCCTCCATTCCTCCCCCTCAAAAAATTCGCGCCCAACGCGCCCTCGCGATCTGGATTCCTGGGCGCCGTCCCGCGCAGACGTGCATCGTGACCTCGCCAGGAGGCGCGCAGCAGAAGGAACGGAGGGGCTTTCCTGGCCACGGCGAGCATCGGCACCGACTAGGCCCCAAGCCCTAAATGTAGGGAACGCCCCTCCTGAGCAGGAGGAGGAGGAGAAGCAGGAGGAGGATTTTTTTTTGACATCAACATCAAGGTAGAGAGCCAGCCCAGACAATTAGGGCAGGACGGCTGGTCAAGCCAGCAACTAGAGTCGCCCTCATCACGGGGAGAAGATTGCATTTCCCGCCGCGCTGTCGGGCCAGCTGCCCAGAACTGCGCGGAGAAAGCAGGAGCGGCAGAGCCAGGCGAAAGACGCGGGGGCGAGGGCTGACCCTGAAGGTGCAATGCCCAAGCCTGCGCCGCGCGGACAATTAGGGCAGGGCGGCTGGACAAGCCAGCAAATACTAACACCTGAAAAGCGAGGAAAAGCAGCGGGCCACAGGGTCATCTCCAGCTGGCTGGAGGATACCCCGTGGCCCGCTGCTTCTCCCCCAGGCGTTAGTCCGAACTAGAGTCGCCCTCATCACGGTGCGCGAGCACCGAAATAAACGACGCCTCTCTGGCCTCACAGCGAGAAGAGGCCGGGGCACAGGGCAAACCAATAAGGGGGGGAGGAGGAGGAGGAGAAGGAGGGCCCTGAAAAAGAAAACGAGAGGCTTCTTCGTCCGCCTCCCAGTCCTGCAAACCAGCGTGCTCGGACACAGTCGCTCCCCCCCCAGCTCCCCGCTCCACCCCGTCCCCACGGTCCTCGGCGGCGGTGGCGGGGCGCGGAGAGCCGTGCTCCTGCGCCGCGGCGGCACCTGCATCGGCTACCTGAAGGCCTCCTCCCTTCTGCGCCCACGGCCCTCTCTCAACCGAGACTCCTGGACGCTTAGGATGGAGGCCTTTACAAATCGGGTGCCAACTGTTGTACTTCTTTGATCTGGTCGGGCCGCTGCAAACATCCGCAAGGCCCGACGCACGACCATGAGACGAATAAGAATAGCACTTGGTGCAGATCACCAAAGTCGAATTGTCTGAGCAGGCCAGCGTCAAACACCTGTGTCCCCGCGCCTCCAAAACCTGCGCCTCCATCCCTCGAACAGGGGAGCACTTCGAGGAAGGAGGCGGGGGACCATGGGTGGAAAGACGGCTGACTTTTGCACACCTCGAACACTTCCAAAAGCCCGAGACGGAACCAAGCTCGACAATCTGGATGGGCTGCCAATCGCAAAGCACAGAGGAAACCACCTGGGGGGGGTCTTTAGGCGGCTGAATCCACACAACGTCTTGGAGGTCTAATTTGGGCCACAAAGGCATCAGCTTAGCAGACAGTGATGCCACAGCCCTAGAAAACTTAATGTCGAGATCAAGCCTGCACCTGTCCTCCTCCGACGGCTGTGGGTGCCCCAGGTACCCTTCCCCCGCAGAAGCACTTTTAGCTCCAACATCAGCGTGGTGGTTCCCAAAACGGCACATCTTGTCATGATTGTCGGTCCACTCTTCCAAAGAGCGATGCGCTTTCACTTTGTTCAAAGAGCGGACCTTCCAGAAATCTGAAAGGAGGGAGAGGGAGAACCCGCTGTAGCATCGCTTAGGTGAAAGCTGGTCAATCTGAGGGCGACCGAAGTGATCTTTGACCAGCTGAGCATCTGTATAAAAATCCGAAGGTCCTCCTGAGAAAAGTATGGCTTGACAAATAGCAGCAAACTCGCCCGCAGGGGCAGTCTGGGGGTAGCACGGGGGGACGGGACCGTAGAGCTTTCCCAAGAGGTCCCCCTGGTCGTCCACAGCCACAAAACACCAGCCTGCCCTGCTGAGCTCGCGAACTATATGCTTACATGCGCTACCGTCTGTGAAAATATTGTTTGTGAAAGGAAATTGGCCTACCTCCTGGGGAAGGTCCTCCCTGGCCCAGAAAGTACCAGACGACTCGGCCGCGGGACCAGGAAAATAATCCCCAGGGTGGGCAAAAGCTCCAAAACAAGACCGAATCGAATTGGGCTCCTCCAGGGCCTTGCAAACAAGCTCGGGAGTAACAAGACTGGAACGGAGCTCGACAACCTCCTGGCACCTGCAGACCCAAAGTCGGTGGTGGAGCGTGTCGGGGGCTGAGCCGCAGAGGTGGCACGTGGGGTCTATCTGGTAACCCAATCGCAATGCTTTAGCACGAGTCCACACTGCGTCCGTAGCAACAGCCCGAATACACCCTTTCTCGAGAGCTGAGTATTTTTTGCGGCGGAGCTCGAACTTCACCACGTCAAAGCACAGACGATGAGGCACATCCCATTTAGCACCAGCTTCCCACTCGAGAACCCTGAAGACTGCCCCGCGGAGATGGTGCTTGACAAGCTGGGGGGACATGAGGGTCATGGAAAGCTCGATCCCCTTGTCAGTGACGAAAGTGGCGAAGTCCCTCATCGTACACGAGATCCTCTCCAAGGACTTGCGCATGGCGGCCACAGGACCACCTACCGCCCTCCACGAGGGGGAATCCTGAAGAAAAACACCTTCCCACGCTTGCCTCAGCTCCCTGAAAGGAATCGAGCCTTCAAAGGCCCTGACCTGAGAGCACCAAACTTCCTTGTGCCACCGCAAGATCGGGGAAACGGCCCCAACCCAAGCAGGGTCGCCTTCGAGGTGGGAAAGCACCGTCAGGGAGCGCTGGCCAGCTGAAGGCTTTATAGTCCTGGCCGCCGCACGGCGGATGAGCATCAGCTCGTAGTCAGTAACCCCTCTAACCTCGCTGCCATACAGCAAGCCAGGGAGCGGTCCTGCAGTGAAAACTCGCAAAGTTCTCCTGGAACCAAGGGTCTTACGAAGTTTAGCCACTCGGCCAGTGCGTTTGATGAAAAGACGTCTCCTAATCACAAGCTTTTTGTTACGACCCTGGGTCCGAGAACTCTTCCCCACCGTGTCGTCCACCCCAAGGTTAACAGCACTGGAAGTAATGGGACCCGTGAGCTCAACTCCCAGTTTGGCCTGAATGGCCCTGCCAAGCTTGGCCGAGGAACAAATCAGGCTGGATTTGTCAGCCGCCACCTGCGCACCAATGCCATCAACGATGGCAGCGTGGAGCTGGGGCGCGCCTTCCGTGATGGCGTCCACAACAAAATTGAAACTGCCGACAGCACTGAGGCCAGAATCGTCGATGTAGAGCGCCAGTTGAGCACCCTGCCGTAACCTAACAGTATCGAGCGACTCCACCGCGTTAACCCTGATCAGGGTCGTGGCCAACGAACACCCCGCTATGATTCCAGAAGAAGCGTACCACGGACCGTCGATGCAGCCACCCAAGGAAAGAAACCTCGGGGCCCTGTAGGCCCGCACAGCCAACTTGGCCATGGCAATAGGGAAACCCAGCCTAATACAACGACTGAGGAGTCGCTCGATATCAATGAGCTCGTAGTATTTAAACATGTCCTGCAGGAGGGTAGCCGCATGTAAGGAGTGGGTTGCCCCACTCTCGCTGCGGACGCTTTGCCGCCATACAACGTCTGAGGCCCCCTGGTACTTGCCCGCCGCAAAGTAGGGACGAGCGTGCGACCCCTCCCAGCTCTCGGCAAGGCACCGCCGCGCTTTCCCCCAGATGCGGTAAGGACCCATGAAAATCCCGATAGGGCGGAACCCTCCAGTAGGTTTACCCAGGAGCGCCAACACTGTGGCATCAAGCTGGAAGGCAACATGCTGGAGATTTCCATGACCTGCAGGATCCTACACAGCGCCGTGACCCCAGGAAGGGAAATCATACTGAAATGTTTCATGTGGAAACCGTCCACGCCCACCGCCGAATACATCTTGTAGCTCCTCGAAATGCGGACCAACTCGTTGGGGTCCAAAGGGGGGAGCTCAGGGGCAGGAAAGAAATCGGCAATAGGTCCCAACTCCCGCGGGGAGTCAAAAGCGCGCCATAAATGAATAAACTTGTTGCGTTCAGCCTCGAGAAGGGACCTGGGGTCACTGACCACACAGCCGTTGGACGAGAGAGTGGAAGTAGGTTTCCAGGGCTTGGGTTCAGAAGTGACCATGTGAGCTCGCTTGGCCCCCTGATCGATGTTCTCTCTCAGCCAACTACGCCAGGAAGCTAAACTGCGGTCCCTAGCTCTGGCTTCTGCCTGCGCGACCACGTCGGAGAACGAGAGAGACAGATCGAGAACGTCCTGCTCGAGCTCTCCGCTCGAGTCCAAATCAGCACGGGTGATCATGGACTGCAAGGTGATAAGCAGCTCCTTATGGGCACCCAGATTATCGACCACGAAAGGGGGAGGGTGAAAAATGTAGGACCTCAGGGCCCTCGCAAAATCAACTCCACCACTCTTGGCCTTTTGGGAATTAGACGAAACATACACCTTGCAGTCCAAGATGCGATTATACAGCCACCTGACGGAGTACAGAAAGGGGTGCCTAAGAGGTTCCTTGTCCTTCGAGAAAACAGGCTTCCACATAAGCTGAGGACCCTTGCCTCTCGCACCCCAAACCGGAAGCACCGATTGAGTGGCGTTGGCCACCTCCACTTCCGCAAGGTTGGCCCACCACTTGTAGGTGAGATTGAGCAGCCTTTGAGTTTCCGCCCCCCTCCCCGCCCTGGCAGCTACCAGAGCCGCCTCCAGCACGTCGAGAACAGGGTCCCAAGATGGGGGTTCCCGAGTGGGCCCTATGGCCCTTTGGGGGGGAAGGGGGGGAGGTTTCCGAAAAACCAAAACGTTGAGTTGAGCAGGCGAAGGGAAAAGCTCCAGATCCACAGGGGAGTGGGGGGTGAGAGGGGAATTGTAGTTGACACTCACCTGCCTGATAACCTTCGCGATGCCTGCCGAGACGACAAAGAAATCAGATACTTTGAGGCCCCCCGTGCTGCGGAGCGTGTAGCCTCCGTCTGTTGGGGTGATCATCTGGCCTTTGAACTCCGAAACGAAATGCGACTTCTGAAACTCACCTGGAGTCATGTTGAAATCGCCTCCCGCAATGACAGGGAGATCAGAATGTGAAAGTCCAGCTCCGAGACGCGACAAGATCTCCACGTTGCGCTCAGAAAGACCTTCGACGTCGTGGAGGTAGATCGATCCGACAAGGACCTGAAAACCTCCTGGAATATCTATAACACAAGCTCCAGCACGATGAGGGGACAGCACGAAGCCCGACGACAACGTGTGAAGCCCGAGATACGATCTAGCCAAAACTGCAACACCTCCTGAAGACCCAGTGCCCTCCCCACGCGCGGCCGCCGCCCAACACGACTTCCACCCATGACGAAAGAGCCATTCGGACGCCTTGGAGATGTCTTCATCTGAGCACAAGTGATGTTCTTGGACTAACAAAACGTGTGCCGTGGTCATTGGCAGCCACTTATTCTTGAGTGACTGCCATCCTGAAACATTGCAAGTCTGCACACAGAGCCCGAAATTATCCAAATCAGGCGGAGGAGGGGGCTGGAGAGAGCCTTCTACAAGCACTCCCGCGGCCACATCCTGACTAAGGAGGGGAGACGAGCCAGCCGACATCGGCTGAGGTGGGCTAGGAAGGAGTCCGAGGAGCAGGAGCCTCGGTAGGAGTGGCAGCCGTCGTCTTGGCACGCTTGGCCGCTGCCTCGATGAAAGTCGAGACGCGCTGCCTCGACTCACTCGAGACTTCCTCCGACTGTGCCTGCTGCCATTCATGTAAAAAGTTCTGGAAAGCTTCTGAGTCCGCAGCCTCGACCTGAGGCATTGCTTCATCAGAGTGAGTGGGTACACCCGTCTCCACCCCAGCCTCACCACCCGTCCCCCCACCACTGTCAGAAGCAGCAGGAGCAGCTCCACTGCCTGCGGCTTCCTTCTGGGCAACGGATTGGCAGCTGGTCTTGAGTTTGGCCCAGCCCTCACGAATTGCGGCCAGGTCGCCAGACTCCAGCACGCTGTCGAAATTGGACAAATGCCCCTGGAGCTCCGCCTGCGGCGGGGGCGGGAGGTCGGCCACCTTGGCCGCCAGCTCCAGGTACCTGGCCTTGAGCTGCACCTGCTGGGTTGCGGTCTCCGCCCTCTTCTCCTTGAGCTCCGCCATGCGCGACTCGGTGTCTGCGATCTGGGAGTCGAGCGAGTTGAGGGCGCGAACATTCTTGTCAAGAGCCTGCTGAGCCTCAGATGCCTGCTGCCGAAGGGGACGAGCTTCAGACTGCTGGGAACGGATGGCTGAAGCCGACGCCGCGATGGAGCTGGCCACTGCTGCACGCTCTGGGAAATCGTCCTTGAGCTGACCCATGAGCAGCTGAAGCTGGGCGAGGAGGGACGACGGGTCCGCAGGATGAGCCAAAGCGCCTCCACGACCACCAGGTCCTCCCCCGACGCCGCCGCCTCCGCCACTCCCAAACCCGCCTTTGCCACGTCCACCACCTTTGGGTCCTTGACCTTTGTGAGAACCTTTTGGGCCTGGAACTGCTGGGCCACTTTGCCACACACCCCCAGGATCGCGAGGAGCGCCAGGAGAAACGTGCGGAATGGGGGCCCAACAATTCGCACACCATTTGTACCACGGTTTGTTGCACTTCGCAGCACCACACGAGAGACATTTCGCACCGATGATCTCATGCTGCTTTGGTCCCATGGGAGACGCCGCGAACGATGCTACAGTCTGAACGAGCCACTTGACCCGCTAGCGCAGTGTGCCGTTCTGAAGTATACGCTAGCAAGCCCAAATCACCTGGGCCAGAACGGCTAGAAGCAGGAGGAGGAGGAGGAGGAGGAGGAGGAGGAGGAGGAGGAGGAGGAGGGGGAGGAGAAGGGGAGGAGGAGGAGGAGGAGGAAGAGCCCGAAGCGGTCCTTCATTCGGCGCCTTGGCTGCACGCGGCCGCACGACTGCGCTCCGGGGAGCTGCGCGCCTGGAGCGAGCCAGGACAGGCCCGGTCCAGGTAGGACCCCGTGCGGGGCCCCGACGTTGTGAACGACCCATGGAGCTGCCGACGCCCCGGGGCGCTCTCCCCCGGGGCGGGGGTGCCGTGGAGCCCCCCTGGAGCACTCAGGGGGCCCTGGGACACACAAATAGGTACAGACACAGATCGCAAGATCCCCCCGATTTTTTCCCACCTCTTCTGGGCTTCCGTCTTCCTCCCACCTCCCTTCTCTTCCAATAGCTCCTGGGGCATCGACGATCAAGTACGTCTGTGTGTCTTTCCCCCCCCCACTGGAGCAAAGCAGAGAAAAGACGCCCCGCGCCCGCGCCCGCGACCGCGCGGCCCGCGCCCGCCCCCCCGCGCCCGCGCCGGCGCCCCCCTTCCCCCGCGCCCGCGCCCCCCGTGCCCGCGCCCGCGCCCCCAGCCAAGAAAAGACGCCCCGCGCCCGCGCCCGCGCCCCCCCCTGGGAGCCAAGCCCGAAGACGCCCCGCGCCCGCGGGGGCCGCGCCTGGCCCGCGGGGCCGCGGCGATACGCCTCTCCGGCAGGCCGGCGGGGCGAAGGCACTCTCTTAAGTGCCGCGGCCGTGTGCGCCCCCGCACGGCGGGCCCCGGCAGCCCTGCACCCCAGAGACGGTGCCCTCTCTCGGGAGCTGTCGAGGGCAGAACAGCCACCCCCCAGAGGTCCAACGTGTGGAAAAAATCGAGACGGAGGTTCTCCTCAGTTTTTGGCCTCCAGCAGTTTTTGGCCTCTCTAGGGGCCCTCGCTGGGCCCCAGAACCGTCAGAAAACGGCTCGGGACGAAAAACCGGTCCCGGGGAAGGGGTCGGGACTTCCAGGGAGCCCGTGTTGAACAAATCAAGACATCGGATGTCTGGGCCAAGAAGGACCACCCCGACGCGCGAGGCCCTTTGGCCAACCCGCCCAGAGGAGGAATCGAGCAGGGCAGGGCAAAGCAGCACGGCGCGAAGGCGACGAGGCAGCTGTGCCCCAGCCCCGCCCCCGCGCACCCCCACCTCTGCTCGGGTGGCCGATCCTTCGCCATCAGGGGCAGCTTGAAACCGTAGCTGAAGGAGCCGGTGAGCACCTCCTGGGGCAGGCGCTCCTGTGTCTGAGGACCAGAGCCTCGCCCGCCGTGCACCTGCGCTGGCTGCGGCCGGGCCCGTCCGGGGGCCCCGGGGTTCGGACGCCCGACATGGGTACCGAAAAAATGGGTACGATGCCCAACAACAAGTGTTGTCCCAAACCAACAGCGGCCGCTGTTGGGCAGGCGGCCTCCTGTCTCGAATGGACACAGGCCGCGGCGGCGCGGACAGCGGATCTTGTTCAAAATGAACAGGAACTCCTGTTGGGCATTGTACCCATTCTCTCAGTACCCATTTCGTGCGTGCAGAGGTGCGCAGGCCCTGGCGAGGGAGGCGCGTCCGCCACCGCGCTTGCAGCGGTTGCTGTGCGCCGGGCCCTCTCGCCGCTTCTCGCGGAGCAGCAGCGAGGGCCCCCCGACGCTGCGAGCCCGGGATGCGTTCGCTGCTGTGCCCCGCCCCCGCGCCCGCCCTGGCGCGGCGGCGGAGTCGCGCGGCAGCGCCAGTGGATGCACATCGTGCCTGGGCCCAGGGCTGCGGTCAGGAATGAAGGGGCCCCCAGGACACACAAATAAGTACACACATAAAAAGATATTCCCCCTATTTCCCCATGCTTCCTGGGCTTTGGTCTTCCCCCCCACTTCCCAGATTTCCCCATGTTTTCCTGGGAGTCGATCGATTCATTGTGTCTGTGTGTTTCTTCCCCTCCTGCAGGAGCTGCTGCTCTCAGCGCGTCGCGGCGTCGGCCCCCCGGCGGCACGCGGTGCCCTGCGAGCGGAGAGCGCGCCGCGGAGCTCCGCGGGGGGCGGGAGGCTGGGAAAAGCTGATGACGACCCAGACATCGGGCGTCTCGAAAAAATCGAGACACAGGTTTTTCTCATAGTTTTTAACCTCTCGGGGCCCTCGCCGGGCGTCGGGACCGTCAAAAAACGACTCGGGATGAACAACCGGTCCCAGGGAAGTGGTCGGGAGGTCGGGACGACGACGCTGGGGGACTACAGTCGGGGCGTGGACCTAAGGAACCCTAAATAAGGAACGAGGCCCCTTTTTTTCCATGAGTTCAACTTCGATTTCCCATCGAAGACATAAGGAAAGCCTGAGGCAAGCTGCGAAACACTTAAGGGACGCGGAGCCCCTCCCCAACGAAAAGGGTTCCTTCTTCAGGGCCCCTACTGTAGGACGTGGACAGCGTGTCGCGCCGAAGCGCGGTGGGCCAGAAGGGGCGGCGCGACACGCTGAGCCAAAACTCCTGACCGTACCCTGGCCAGGATGGGCGCAGGTGCACCGTGGGCGCGCTCCGAGAAGACTTCGCCCGCTCGAGGAGTTGATGGCGTCCAGCGCCACCTCGGGCTTCACCCCAGCCCCCTGCAGCGCCAGCAGACCCTCGGCCCCGAGCAGCAGGTGCGCGACGTTGAGCGCGTTGTTCACGGCCTTGACTGCGTGCCTGGGGAGAACATGCGCATGTACGTGGGATTCGCGTTGGAAAGCTAGCGTGCAAATCGCTGTCCCAAAGGCACGCTGCCCCTGAGAGGCGAGATATCCCCCCGCGAGGGCCCCCTCTGTGCACGCTGCCCAGCTGCCAGCGCTTCTCCGGTGCACGCCATCCCAAGAGGGATGGATAGCGCGCAACGCGCGGGACGGCAGTGCCGCATCGCACGCTACCTTTCCGACGCCAACCAGTTCGGAACTCCGCGCGGACTCCTTGCATCGGCGCTGGAAGCCCCCTCCCCGGCATGCGGAGCAGGCCAGGGGGGGCCAAGCCGGGGCGCCGACCCGAGAACTCCGCGCGCACCTCCGAAGGCGTGTGCGCTCGTGCCGCTCTGACTTCTCCGAGTGCCCCGCCCCTGCCGGGCCGCAGCGCACAATCCTCTTCGCGAAGGCCTGGATGACGGGCGTGGCCCTCCCCGCGGCCTCCTCGCAGTCCGCACCGAGCATGCACGTGAGGCTCCCGGCGGCGGCGCCGCGGGGCCCGCCGCTGACGGGGCAGTCCAGGAAGTGCACGCCGAAGCGCGCCAGGAGGTCGCCCGCCAGTCTCCGGGTGACTCGCGGCTCCCCGCTGGTGCACGAGACGATGCAGGCGCCCGCTGCCTCAGGGGAGGAGAAGGCACAGGGCAGGTTTTGATACATAGGGTTTTAAAAAAGTAGTGGATTTTATTATATGAGTAATTCATGGATGAATGTCTGCATAAACTCATCGTTGTTTGTAATACTAAATCCCTGCATTTGTGATACATGATCCGCACGCGGAGCATTTTTATAAAAAAAAAAAAAAAAAAAAAAAAAAAAAAAAAAAAAAAAAAAAAAAAAAAAAAAAAAAAAACGGCACTGTACCCACACCGCCGCCCCTCCCTCGGCGCCACGGCCGGAGTCCTCTCGAGCTCCTGGCCCGCACGCCGGGAGGACCCTGGGGAGCGGCGGCACTGTCACAGGGAGGGCATTGGACAAGGAACCACTGGAATTATGTCGGGCGTATCCCCCTACAGGGGGATTTTCAACGAAAAATTTAAAAAAAAAAAAAAAAAAAAAACAAAAAAAAAACGGAATACCCCCAAAAGGCAAAAAATATATTCAAAAATAGTCCCCAGACTATGTTTGGACTATTATTTGACTATTTGTTTTGCATTTTCCGTCGAAAATCCCCCTGTAGGGGGACACGCCCGACTTAACACTGGAAGCCAATCGCGGAGTGGCCATGGCTACCACATCAGTGGCGCCCTCCTCCACAAAACACTACTTACTCTTCCAGGGCGCGAAGCCTCCTGGGCACGTTCCTCAACCAGCGACTCCCGCCCTGCGCCCTCCTGCACCGGCGAGGCGCGGAGGGGAGGCAGGGGAGGGCCCGTGCACCGAGCCTAGCCGCAGGGCGAGCCTGGCCAGGATTGGGGGGAGGAGGAGGAGGAGGAGGAGGAGGAGGAGGAGGAGGAGGAGGAGGAGGAGGAGGAGGAGGAGGAGGAGGAGGAGGAGGAGGAGGCGGAGGAGGGGGAGGAGGGGGAGGAGGAGGAGGAGGAGGAGGAGGAGGAGGGGGAGGAGGAGGAGGAGGAGGCGCATTGGGGGCGCGGCGAGAGCGGTGCTGGCCCCAGGGCAAGTGTGCAGAGGGCGCCCTCCGAGAGGATGATGCTGCTCCCATCGCACGCAAGGACCACATGCAAGGAATGATCTCGAGCACACAGACAAGTATCGCAACGGTGTCGAACGAGCATCGCCCCGCAGGGCCCGACACGTGAAGGCCCCCCGGTTTCGGTACTTTCTGGGTGCTCGAAATTCTTTGTGGTGCGCAGGGCTAAAAAGGTTGGAACATCAGAACTCGAGGATTCGATGGCGTCCAGTGGATGGCTCGAAGACGCCCCCGCCTGAAGGGGAGGAAACCGGGGACACTGACCAAGACTGAACGGTGAAGCGCCGCGTCGATCCTGGTCACCGTCGATTTCAGTCAGCGTCACTTCGTTGATCATCCTCGCGAGTCGACGACGGCCGACATGGAACATGACCAACGTCGGAATCGACAAAATCCCGCAACATTGCGGTCATGGCCCCCGTGCTCCTCCCTCGACCCACCGTGTCTACAGGCCTCCCAGATGGGGTCGGAGCAGAATCGGGTCGGAGGATCGCGCCGCATCGCCGATGTAGCGCCGATGCATCGGTGATGCACCCGCGACGTCGGCGGGGAGGAACATCGGGCTCCACATCGAGCCGCACCGCCGATGCATCGGGCATGCGGCTCGATGTGCAGCCGCCATCTGCTCGGACCCCATCCGGGAGGCATCTGATGGTATCTGTGTTGTCCACCTGCTGCCATGTCCGCAACAACCTTGGGGAGACCAAAAGGTACCGATACCGCTACTCCCCGGACCTCTCCCGGGGTGGGTTCCGACCCGGACTTCGAGGCGAATCCGGTGGCGACGAGGGCCTCCCCAGAGGCCGAACAAGGAGGCAACGGCCGAAGGCTGGCGGTATGGTTACCTTTTCCTCCTCTGGCATCTCGGAGGCATAATACATATCTATATATAATCTTAAGTCGGGCCTGTCCCCCTACAGGGGGATCTTCGACGGAAAATATACCCGAACAATTATAACACATATTCAAAAAATAGTCTGGGGACTATTTGTTGAGAAGTTGTTTGACCTTTCTGGGGTATTCTAAGGGTACTTTGTATTGTTCGTCGAAAATCCCCCTGTTCTGGGACAGGCCCGACTTAGATATAATCGTATCTGTGTTGTCCGCCCGCTGCCATGTGCGGGGCAACCTGCAGCGCGAGCTCCTCGTCCTCCCGCGACGTCGGCAGGCAGAGCACCAGCACCGCGGCCGGCGCCAGCGCGGCGGCGTCCGCCACGCCCTGGCTGCCGTGCTCGGCGGCGTGCCGCTGGGCCTTCTCGCCCGTGCGGTTCCAGACGGTCGGGGGTTGCTAGAGGTCGGAGGAGGAGAAGGTACAGGGCAATTTTTAATACATAGGATTCTTTTTTTTAATATAAGATTTTAATACATGATAAATTCATGAATAAGTTTACGCATGAACTCATCGCTGTTTTTAATACTAAATCCCTGCATTTTCAATACATGATCCGCACGCTGAGCATGCATTAAAAACGGCACTGTACCCATACCGCTACCCTTGGCCCGTTGTCCCCTTTTTGGGCCTCCTGGGCGGCCCTCGTCACCACCGCCGGATTCGCCTCGAGATCCGGGTCAGAGCGCACCCCGGGCGAGGTCCAGGGAGTGGCGGTATCTGTACGTTTTGCTCTCCCCAATAGGTGCCCCTGGCCCAAGGTGCCCCCAGCTTTTCTAGAGGCCTCCTGGATGGGGTCGGAGTAGAGGGGGTTGGAGGAGCTGGCCGCATCGCCGATGCGTCGCCGATGCATCGGGGATGCATCGGCGATGCACTGGCGACGTCGGCGATACATCTGCGACGTCGGCGTGGAGAAATTCGGGCCCCACATCGAGCCGCACCGCCGATGCATCGCCGATGCATGTGGCGTGATCCTGCGATCCCATCTACTCCGACCCCGTCTAGGAGGCCTAGATGTTCGCTCAATGTTAGACCCCCCTGGGGCCCCCTGGGCCTCGTGAGCGTTGCTCTGCGGGCCGTGGGGGCCTCCCCGAGACTGCTGGGGGCACCCTGGGCCAGGGGCACTTCTAGCAACACCCGAGACGAGGCAACGCTGCCCGGGGATCTTGGCCATGTGAGCGGCCATGTGCAGAGGAGCCAAAGAACGGCACGAGCATAAACTTAGGTCGGGCATGTCCTCCTACAGGCGAACTGTGTGAGCAAAAAGAAGGCACAGCCAAAACATGCTCAACCAACAACACAAATAGTAGAATAATCGCCCCCAGACTATAATTACTACTCTTAAGTATTTCTCCTGTAGAGGGACATGCCTTGCCGTCGCTCGGACGTCCATTTCCCGTGCATGTTTCGATTTCGTGTTTTTTTTGCTCGATGGTCCAGGATGGTCCTCGATGGTTCTCGCCGAGAAAACATGCACACGTCCGAGCGATGCCAAGATGCACGACTGGAGCGTGCACTTTGGGGGGCTCCGCGCGGGCTTCTCGGGTCGGCGCCCAGGCCCCCCCTCTCCTCTCCTGGCGCGCGCTCGGCGCGCCAGGTGGCGGTGCCCGAGCCGCCGCCAGGGGGGGGGGGGTCCCACGGCGCCGCTCCGGGGAGTCCGCGGGGAGCTCCGAAGGCTGTTGGCGGCGCGCACAAGGGGGTGGAGGGAGGGGGGGAGGGCCTCTTAGAAGGAGGCTGCTTCTTAGAAGGCGCTGGCCTTGCATCTACAGATGAGGCCCGCGTTTTCCAAGAAGCAGGGGTGCTTCTAAGAAGCCCTCCCCCCTCCCCCCACCCCCCTCTGCGCGTGGCCGAGGTTGATGCGCATGCCGCTTTTTCTGCTCCGACTTTCGGCGGTTCCGAGATGGGGTCCTCAGGGGTGGGGTCCTGAGGACGAGGTGCCTCAAACAATGCACATCCCCCCCTGGATCCGTTCCTATCCTTATAAGACCCTATGATAGGACGCCCAAATGATCCGGGATAACTGCGGTCCGGGGTAACGCGCGAATATGTAATTGCTCCTGACTGCTCCCAGCCCTGATGATTCGGGGCTCTGACCCATCTCTCAGGGCTCTTTACAACCTTCAAGATTCACGGTACCCGTATTGGGAAACAGTTTGAAAAGGCCTTCTGGGACCCGCTACGAGTTCAATTTTTCAGGCATGTCGCTGCTGGGGTTCGCCGCCAGCGCGAGCTCCGGGGCTACCTTGCGGTCTCGGCTTCTAATATCACAACCCTTTTTGCTCTCTACGAGCTATCCGGTAATCTTTTCACCACCCATTCCCCGCGCACTTCTCGTCGTCGTGCGTGCCCCCTTGCCAGATGATACAAGAGGCTCCTCGATGCACAGGTCCGAGCGCTGCCGAGCTCCTCTCCTCAGGACCCCCTCCCTCAAGACCCCCCCTCTGAGCCACCGAGGCTGTGGTACCCCATGGCGCCCAGCCCAGCGAAGCCCACGACCCCGGCGTCCACCGCCACGGCGCCCGGCTCCGCCCCGCCGCCCGCTGCCATGTCTCTAAAGGGAGAGCAAACCTACCTCGCTTTTGACCACCCTCGCTTCCAAGAGACACCAAGCGGCGCCAAACTACGGCCGGTACGGGTCAGGCCGCTTGGCGAGGCGGCGCGTGGTGTGACATGGTCCTGCCTGGAAGCGAGAGCGGGGCAGGTAATTCACGCTCTGAGTCTCTGCGCCGCGCCGAGGGGGCGGGCCCGAGGGGCCGGCGCCGGGGAGGGGCCGCCCGAGCCGCGGGGGGGGGGGCCGCTCGCGGGCGCGCCCCGAGCCAGAGGGGGCCGTGGCTCGACCGAGGCCACGCCGGGGGCGGTGTGGCCTCCCGGTGGTGCTGGGAGCCAAAGTGTAGGAAGGCTCGGTCCATACTGTCCTGCATCTCGAATGTGCAGCTGTATCGAACGACCTCCGCGGTGTCAGGGAAGTGCTCGCTCTGGATGTGGCGGGGGCCGTCTCCGATGGCGGGAGCGGGGCGAATCGAGACCACGGCGGCTGAATATCAATCCTCGGAGCTTCCCGAGCTGCGTCCGGCCGTGCGCGGCGCGAGCTGTCGCCATCCACACTGTCCTACATCTCGAGTG